AGTGATTTAATCAGCATTTGAAACAAGTTTTGACTTTATTATCATTTCATTTCAGTAATATATACATAAACAGATTTTAAGATTCTCCCTCTATTAGCTAACTGTATTTTACTTCTAACACTAAGCTCTCATTGGATCACACTGCAGCTGATTACAGGAAGCTAAGATCATTTAAAAAAAAATAACAGTCTCCTACACCAGTCCACTACAGTTTGATCCAGCCCAGTTAACGATCTAATCGGCCCCCATGGAGGGGAAAGGGGGGAGCCCACCCGACCTATGTGAGTCTATGTCTATTCTGCACTTCTTTCCCCCTCTCTAATCCCCAAGTTGTACTTGTCTTATCGCACACCAACCGCCCTCCTGTGCGACACCCTGTCCCCTACCCCCACCCTATCATCCTCCACACGGTTTCTGATTACTGGGATCAGCCTCCCAGACACCAATCCAAAATTGGCTGTAGAACCGGACTACGGTCCTCAGCGAAAACGACCTTACTCGGAAGGTTCCCACTAGCTGGTTTGTTAGTACTAAGGCTTACTATAATGAACCATCGAGCTTGTTTGTTATGTGCACGACATACTGATCCTTTATCCTAACAAAAATTCCTGACTGCTGCGTCAGCGGCGCGCTGTTTTATACATTATCATTGTGTTCTGTTTGTATGCTTATTTGAAAACAAAAATGTTGTGAAGAAAATAAATAAATAATAATTAAAATTGTTAATAATAAATTGAAAATAAATGTTACCTTTATATGTTGATCTTAATATTTATTGTGTTCACATGTACAGTATATAAAAAGAATTAAAGTCAAAGTCCAGGCAGATATAAAAGAAACAAATGAATGTGTAATAATTAAAACTGAATGTGGTGCTTTAATAATTAAAACATCACTAAATGTATTTTTAAATGCAAGCAGTGCTCACGTGCTAACAAAGAGATGAACTTATCAGTTCGCTGCCTCTCCTTTTACTGTCCAATTACAGGCTAGGGGAGGGACAAGACTTCTAGGTGGTAAGTGCAGTAGGGAAAATCAGGTCTTATGCCCTGCAGGACAGGACAGTCCTGCACAGGAGAACTATGTAAATGTCGGGATTTCACATGGATAGACAGATATACACGTAACTTGGCAGGCAAAACATGCCTTTTACGTGCTTTTCATATGTATATTTCGCTATTTGCATGTAGTTCAGCCAGGGCTTCAGTTTCCCTTTAAGCTTCCATTGACATAAATGCAATTTGTGTGAAATTTATAAGTTGGGAAAATGAAATTACCGTAAATGTTTCCAGGATGCACCTTATATTAACATGGCAGAGGTACACATACTGTTTTAGAGTTAAAAATAAAATCTTTACCAGAAAATAGGAGGCAAATAACATAGGACTAAAACATATTTTCTGCATGCCCTAGTACCATCTCAATCATTGTCTTGCAGTATACATGAACAGTGGAACTGTATTGACCCACACGGCATGGCACCTTGTACATGTGTTGGGATACCTGTTCTGTCTTGGAAATGGCATCACTATACCCACAGCCACCAATTAACATAAACCAGAGAGTATATCAAAGGAAACTATACCAGGATCTTCTTCACAAAAACTGCACAAAGACAATTTGTCCACTGCCACCACTGCATATATTGTGCTTAGAATACTGTGATGCTTCATCACCAGAATCCAAGCTGACCAAAAGCCCTCAATTCAGTTGCCATACATCCAATCTGTCCACTCAAAGTGTTTGTCTCTAATCAGCTCACCAATGGTCATGCATCCTTCTATTTGATCCCATCAACCTCTGTCATTGCTCACCAGTGACATTTCATTAAATTCATTGGGCACAGCACAGCACAGTGTGATGCAATTGTACCTTGCCATGGCCGGCTTCACTAAAAAAAAAGTATAGCATCCATCAGATTGATCCCTTACATTAGGTGTCCCTATCAGAGTGCCCGCCCCCTTACATTATGTTCCCCCATCAGAGTGCCTCCTTACCTTAGATGTCCCCACCAGAGTGCCCCCTTACATTGGTTGTCTCCATCAGAGTGCCCACTTACATTAGGTGTCCCCATCAGAGTGCCCTCTTACATTAGGTGCCCTCATCAGAGTGCTTCCTTACCTTAGATGTCCACATCAGAGTGCCCCTTACATTGGTTGTCTCGACTAGAGTGCCCCCTTACAGTGGTTGTCTCAATCAGAGTGCTCCCTTACAGTGGTTGTCTCCATCAGAGTGCTCCCTTACATTAGGTGCCCCATCAGAGTGCCCGCTTACATTGGTTATCCCCATCAGAGTGCCCCCCTTACGTTGGTTGTCCCCATCAGAGTGGAGTGCATTAGGTGCTCTAACCAGAGTACCCCCTTACATTAGTTGTCTCCATTAGAGTGCCCCCTTACATTGGTTGTCCCCATCAGAGTGCTCCCTTACATTAGGTGCCCCATCAGAGTGCCCCCCTTACATTGGTCATCCCCCTCAGAGTGCCCCCTTACGCTGGTTGTCCTCATCAGAGTGCCCCATTTACATTAGGTGCCCCCATACATTAGATGTCCAGATCAGAGTGCTCCCTTACATAAGTTACTAAAGGGGCAGGAAGAATGAACTGAATTCTTATCATTTTGTGCATGCGATCGGAGTAGAGTTGCCACCTTTTCTTCAGGTGAAACCCAAACACCCTAGTGCCACGTGCCACAATTTTTTTTTGTAGAATATAGAGGAGAGAGAGCGAGGAGAGGCAACCTGGAGAAAGAGCAAGCAGAGACAGCCAGGGGAGGGAGTAAGGAGACCGGCTATAGAGGACTACAAATTGCAGCAATACATTATACATACGCTGTGTTCCGGGGTGGCGCCCTGATGTCTCCAGGTTCTCAGGTGGCCTGTGCGGGCTCTCACCAGCGCTGTGCCAGTTCTCAGGTGGACTCCGTGGTCTCTCAGGTGGACTATGCTGGCTTTTTAGGTGGGCTATGCGGGCTCTCAGGTGGCTGTGTGAACTCTCAGGTGGGCTATGGGCATGTTCAGGTGGGATATGTGGGCTCTCAGGTGGGCTATGCAGGGTCTCAGGTAGACTATGCAGGCTCTCAGGTGGCTGTGTGCTCTCAGGTGGGCTATGGGCATGGTCAGGTGGGCTGTCAGGTGGGCTATGCAGGCTTTCAGGTGACTGTGTGGGGTCTCAGATGGGCTATGCGGGCTCTCACCTGGCTGTGTGGAGTCTCAGGTGGGCTATGCGGGCTCTCACATGGCTGTGTGTGATCTCAAGTGGGCTATGTGGGCTCTCAGATGGGCTATGCAGGCTCTCAGATGGCTGTGTGGGGTCTCAGGTGGGCAATGCAGACTTTCAGGAGTGCTGTGCGAGAAGTGTAGGGGTCTCACCTGGGCTCCGGAGGTAGGAAACATTTTACAGGCACCCGTGGCTCACAGGCAGCTGCCTCTGTCAAAAAATGTAAAGTTCTGGTATCGACACTTCCAGGGTTATTCACAAAAGGGTGAAGAGTTTGGAGAAAGCAGGAGAAGTGAACAATCTAGGATAATAACTGATTTGGAACAATTATCCAATTGAGCTCACTTTCCAGTTCAGCTATGTTGTCCTCGATTCTTCCCTTCTCCTGCCTTCTCCAAACTCTTCACCCTTTTGTGCAAAAACCTGTTAGTATCTTGTGGCCGGGTGTCAGCTGGCCTAAAATCCAGACACAAGACTCAAAAATCAGACTGTCCGGTTGAATCCTGGACAGGTGGCAACCCTAGATCAGAGCTTCTAAGGTGTAACACCAACCTCATATAACATCAAACGTCCTTTCTTCTATAGACCCAAACAACTTTTTAAAGTGTTCTTCTTCCAGCCGAGTCTGCAGTGAAGTCTCAGAATACAAGATCAGTGACAGGGTGCTTCTGATGTGTAGCCTGGTTATCTAGGAGAGGTCCACAGGCCCTGACAGCTGGTGGGGTGGCTCCAATACCTTAATGTATGCATCGGGCCCTTACAGTAATATGTGATTGAAGCATATATATTCTCATACTTTTATGTTGCATCAAAGGTTTATGTTATTATTAGCTGGTAAATAGATGCAGAAATAGGTGTTGTCACACTTTCTAGCAAGAAAAATACACCTCATAACTTTCACTGAACCAAATATATACATAAAGTTCAAATAGTCACCTTAAACTCCAGGCTTTAAGTAATGACAATATTATGATTGTACAGTTATTACTGCTTTTGTGTCAAAAAGTAGTGGTAAGCTTTTGCAATGAAACATTACAATTTTATGGCCATAACAGATATAGGGGCTGACTTTTTCTTTTTAAATCACAGGAAATGTTCATCCCGTGCAAACTGATACAGCTTTACAGTATTTAAACTCTTTCTGTAAATAAGTGGATAACTTAATTACCAGATTACTCTTTACATTTTCCTGTTGAGTTAGAAAAACAGTTTTAAATCTATGTTTGTATCGGATGTAAATTCCTGATGCAATAATAAAGCCAGTGTGTGGAGAGGCTTCACAGGGAGCAATTCCATTGTGCTGCTGCAGTGCAAGATGCATGCTGATAGGAGAGAGCAGAGAGATGGGCTCATCAGTTTGCTGCTTCTCCTTTCCCTGTCCAGTCACAGGCTGGGAAAGGACAAAACCATGTCCCCACCACTGCAATATGAGGATATACTGTGTTACAGCACAGTGTAAATCTCAGAACTGTGCACACACGTATAAGGAATTAAATTGTAAGAAATACAAGTCCTTAGAAGGTAAAACAGCTCTCATATATGCAGTTCATCTCTGCATTTAACTATTGGACTTCAAAAAGGGGAAAGGACATCTTGGAAATGTAAATATGTCCTGATAAGCAGAAACGCTGCTGTACGCTTCTAAAAGTCAATAGTAGTTATTTTATATACGGTAACGCTTAGAACAGATTTGCCAGCAGAACCACAAACAAACATGGCGGATAGAGGTCTCACGGAGATGACGTAATTGTCGCACATACTATACTCACGCAGCGTTGCGCTCCACTCTCACGCTCATGCGGTTCAGCATCGCTCCGCCCCTTCCGAGCCTGCTGCAGGCATGTCTACCCGGTCCAAGGTGGTGCTGGGCATCTCGTTGGTGCTGACCGCGGGTACGGTGATTGGAGTGCATGGGATGCAGAACCTGGAAAGAGAGGTGGGTGGGCGTTCTGGGGCTCTTTAGACACATTAGAGGTTAATGGTGAAGGTCAGGCAGTAGAAGTGCTCCTGTGATGGGACAATACACCTCCTCTAGAAGGGTCACTTTGTGTCCAGCACTGTTGTAATAGACATCTACAGCCTTACCCAATAAATATTACTCATTCTGTATAGTAACAAATGGCAGCCAATCACACTTCATTGTGTACTGGTCTGACCTAAGCAGGCTATCTTCTGATTGGTTGCTTACTGAACCTTAGAATAAAAACTCTTCCCGCCTTAGTCAGTATGGAGTATTTAAAGAAGACCATGCAGCTGCCCCCCTCCAATCCCTGATCAAAACATAAATAAAATCTGTCCACTTCCTGTATGTGGTGGTGAATTCTCTGGACCCCAGCCAAATCCTGGGAAAGCTCAGGATCCCAAGTCTCCTGAGAAGAAGTTCCAGTACTGTACAGTAGCGCATGCTGGTGGGATCCAGGATCCTCCACATTTTTAGGGTCCCTTGAGAAGGCCCAGTGATGTCTTTCAGGCTTAGGCAAGTGTAAGGAAAGTGTTGTTTACTTTTTTCTTCTACTATTTTATTTCTTGCAGTAAGTGGTTTTTATTCTGGGGGTGGGCGGCTTCAAGATAAGCAGACTTTGCATGTAATGTCAGCTTTTAAGACTCGTTACCACCAGCCTGCATGCTACAACGCTCCGATTTAGCATAGAGACTGGTGTGCACTGTGTGCTGCCAGTGGGGGCGTGACCTTGTGTTACAATGCAGGGCACTGTTTACCTTTTTTTTTTTTTTTATTGAAATAGCAAAGTAACATTTTATGCATGAGCTGTGGTTACTGGCGCTGAGGTGGGGTGCGGTATGAAAAAAGGCTGCATATTCTGCATACACTCCCCTGTTCACATGCTGAAAAATTCCTGTCACCGCACATGGAGTGAACGGGTCCTGAAGCCCAACAGCAGGCATGATTACAGCAGCTTTATAGCAGCCAAACATTCCTTTTTCGGAAAAGCCGATCGCCATCACGTAGGGATACTTCTATATCCTGCCAACCAGTTAGTTTACATGCTGGGGTAGTAGAGCTTCACTGTACTACCTGGCTGCTCTGGGTGTAAGCGCTACAGATCTCCAGTGCTACAGTCATGTATCCAGTCCCCTGTACTCCTTTCCATTCACAAATCTGAGCCTCACCACCACCTTCTTCCCTGTCTGACCTACTATGAAAATGCTGAATTCTGAAAGTAAATGTTTTTACAAGCAATTGCAAACTCCTCACATGGACCTTCCTATAAGTTATAAGTCACTCAGTCACTGGATTTGCATTATGGAATGGAAGTGCATGCTTCTTCTACGGTACATTAAAGTGGGGATGTTCCAGCGGGGTCTTAGGGTGGTTCTGGGAAGGGGGGGGGGGGCAAAGCCTGCAACAGAAGTATGTACTGATAGCTTATAATGTCAGCTACATGTCTGCGCTGTTAGTTGGCTTGATTTAGTAATATGAGAGGTTTGCTTTAATAGACAATGATTTTCTTTCTATCTCGTTCACACTATGACAGAAATGACCTGTGTTTTTCTGAACAAGACCAACACAGGTCACTGCCATGGCACAGCAATTGTTCACAGTACAACGCTGACCTGAGATTTTGCGCTCTGATCATGTTGTAACAGGAAACATGGTCAGAAAAATAAACTTGGTCTTTAAAAAAATGCAAACCGTGTAATGCGCTAAAACTCTGCTTTGCCGTGCTGTGTTGTCACAATGTACAAGTGTGGATGGGCCCTCTGTCTTTGTACATACACAAGTTATTGAATAACTTGGTCAAATAAAGTCTATTGAATATTGTAATATTGGTTCTCATACAGATCATGTAAAGTATTTGGAAATATGATCTAAAATGGATTGTGTTTTTCCTGTTTCTTTTCAGAGACTGCGTGAAGGTGTATTTCGAGACTTTGAAAGGCAAAGACGGAAACAAGACAACTTGCGCCTTCTTAATGATCAGATTGAGTTAACCAAACAGCTGGAGTCTGAACGGGAGAAGTTTGCTTTAAGCGAAGCATCTAACAAATCATAACTCCAGACTTCTGCTGGGAACGAGGACTGTTCAGTCTTATCATTTGTGACTTTTATATACATTTTCCACATGGCGATCACACTCAGAGTTGTCATTGTTCAAAAAGACCTCATGGACTCCTAATAAAAGTGCCTAATCTATAGGAACTTGTGTACAGTGTGGTCTGTGCTGCCTGATTGTATTGTTAAATAGGGAGCTACATGTCAGCTGTTGCATACAGAGACGACTTTCACTTAAAAGTAGGCATCTGACATTTGTTCTAGCCCAATCCCGTCCTCTGCTGTGTGTAGGTCATGGATACATCGGCCCATATCACTCCTATGGACGATGAGGCTACCAGGACATCGGCCTCTGAAGGTCTGGAGGAAGGGGAAGTGGAAGGTGAGACTCTGTTGCTGGTCGAGTCTGAAGATCAGGCTTCTATAGACTTGTCTCATGATCAGAGTGGAGATTCTTTAAACAGCGATGTTGGCGATGAGGTAGACCCACCATGGATGGAAGAAATGCCTTTTCACTGTGACAAGTGTCAGAAATGGATCCCAGCAAGTATGTATGGGTTACTTCTCCCTGTATAATGTATATTTATTTTGAGCTTATAGAAGGTTGCTTATGCAAGGCAAGAAGAGAAACCGCAAAGCTTACTCTGGTATTGTTGACTCACTTTAATTCAGAGTGCAGATCTAGTATGAGCATAGGGGTAGTGAAAGGAGTACTGTCATGAGAGATAGACAGGGGCTGCCATTCTCAACATGCTTGTTGACTGGCTATTGGCTGATTCACAGCTTTTAAAGGACATGTACTTTTGGTACATGTTGCAGTTTAAGGCATTGAGCCATGCCGTGGTCTGATATTTACCTCTGTTCCAGGGTGGAGGTGCCACACCTTTATAGGACAGATGCCATATCTATAGTTGTCCTTCAAAACTTTGAATTACTGACCCAGGCTAGAAGAAGGCCAGCTATAATTTCCTGAATAGATCAATCCATATTTTTCTCTTGACAGTCTTTCTTTAATGCCATTCTCCGACCAATACTTGTGTGACCCTCCCACCTCCCTTGTTTTACAACTGGACCATTTTCACATTACCTCCAGCATTGCTACACAGCTTGGATAATCTGGTTGCCCATTTTAACAGCTTCAACATAACTGTATTATTTGCTGTCTGCTATATATGTCAGGGATGGGCAGATTAATATGGAATGTAGGAGCCAGTGTGTTCAGTTCAGGAACCAGTAGGATTTTTTAGGAGGCAGCACCATTGACAACATCTAGAGGAAGCCTCCAAAGTTAGGTGCCAACTGTCATTTTTAAGGAGCATCGACTACCTGGCTCCTGGGATTTGTCCTTCCCTCTAAAGCCAATTTGTTTACATTTTGGAGAAAGTTAAGGAGTGGGCAAAATCACTGTCCATTTTTTTTTGCCATCTTTGTTCCACTGGTGACTTTTGCCTTTATCTTCTGTACTGTGGACACAACAGGCAGCAAGAGGATATCTCTCCAAAGTAAGGGAAATGCCCTCCTTGACGGATTTAACTGCAACAAGTGTCCCTTTTGAAAAATCACCTCTGCTCCTCTCCCAGTGACAGTGTAATAGTTTGCATTTTCTTTCCCTTTCAGTCCCAGTGACAGTACTCACCAAGACAAATAGAAAGAGAATCTGCTGAATGGGGACACGCACAGCAACTAAGACCCTTGTCAGGGGCCTAACCCCTCGCCACTGAATGCAAAACTTTGCATCAATGAAAGTGTCAGTTTTAGTGGTTTGGGCTTCTCCTCTGTGTTGGTGCTAAATAAATGCAAAAGGCATCTCTTCAGCATTATTCACAGCCCTTTTCTCTGGCTGACCCTCAAGCTTAAAAACGCTTCTTAAAGCTATATAGGTTTTGACAAGCTCTTTTTTAACATCAAGAAGGATGAGTTTTTAAGGTAACATTTTAGCTAAAGGGTTTTTTTGGTTTTTTTTGTCTACAGCGAAAAAGAGTTAGACTCACTGCCAGGTTTTTTTTTTTGCTCTTTCGTCGTGTGGAGATTTCACCATGCTTCCTGTGGTGTCACCAGTGACAGGAAGCAAGCAGAATCTTTCCATTTTGGAAGCGGGATTAAAATCTCTTTTTAGAGGAGTGGTGAAGGATTAGAAACTCTTCTTTCCAAGAGCCACCTGCACTCCTTATGGTCTTACAATCGCACGATATTAGTGGTGCTTATAATGATCGCACAGATGGCGCCGTGCAAAAATCCAAGTAATCGCAGTGAGTTACCAGCACACGCAAAGTACAGTTTCAATATTTGGTTGATATGTTTATTGAAGAATGTCATGTGATGTCATCAGAGGCTAATGTTTTGGGACCTCGCAGGGACCCTTCATCAGAGCAACATAGTGACGTGACATTCTTCAATAAACATATCAACCAAATATTGAAACTGTACTTTGTGTGTGCTGGTAACTCACTGCGGTTACTTGGATTAGAAACTCTGTCAGGTTTGAATTGTCTTATTTTATTGCTTAATTTCTGTGTTGCTTGTGGTAATGAGAGCAATTCTCCCCAGACAGCAGTAAAGCCATGAAAGAGGTTTTTTGTCTAAAATGGAGGGAAAAAAGTTGGCTGGAGTTGAACTTTAATAACATACTCTTATACGATGAAGACAACTCTACAATGTTTTCCAAGTACTGCACTGGTTAGGCCAAAAAGAAGTTCACAATATATGCAGTGTATATCAGATCTCCATATAATTTGGGCAAAGTTCCATTTCACTGCACATTGTTTCCTCCCATTTAAAGAGATACTAAGGTCATTTTGATGACTTTTTTTTCCCGAGCGATTCAGCTTCTATTTATCAGTGTATGTAATAAACCTTGTTTCCCTATTTATGGTAATTTATAAGTACACGAGGATGGCCATGTTTGCTTATTATATATGCAGAGTCTGCATCCTGCTTAATGTTGCTGCACAGTGCTGTGCCTGCTGATCATATTATTTTAGTCCAACTTTCATACACAGAATCTTTCTGGTGGCAACAATAGACTCCCTGCGTTCCTTAACATAAAACACCCATATTGCTCTAGGTAGCATAAGACCATATGATCTTTGCCTACCAGACTCCTTGACTGGTGCCAGTCGGGTCCCCATTGCACCGGTAATGACGTAACGTGAGGTCACTCTTGGTGACATGCCTTGTCATTAGAGCCGGCCTGTGGGAGTCCACGCTTTATTTAAAGGGGGTTGGAGGCACCCACAAGTTAGGTCTCTCCTGATAAAGTGGTTCCACCTTGAAACGTTGACTCTTTGAGACCTCATTTACCCTCCTGCCTGCATACCAACTTTATTTTGTGTAAAACCGCTTGTATATACATCCTCTTTTTGCACCTGTCCGCATGCAATATACCGACATATTGTACATGACTTCCCATACTGCTTCTCTGATTATCTTTTATCATGTGTGCTTAGTGACTCGTTAAATGTTATGAGACTAATTATCTACATCAGGGGTGGGCAAACTCTGGATCTCCAGCTGTGCTGCAACTACAAATCCCATGAGACATTGCCATACTCTGATAGCCACAAGCATGACTCCCAGGGGCAGATACATGATGGGAGTTGAAGTTTTAACACAACTGGAGGGCTGAAGTTTGCCCACCCCTGATCTACATAATATGTGCAAGAACTGTATGGTGTGCTGGTCATGTGTGTTTATTAATATATGATCTTTGCCTGGGCACGAGGGAGCTCCAGGAGGGGGGAATTTGCTTTTTTTTTATTCATGGCAAGGAAGAGCAGCTTTTTCATCCAAAATAATACAATATTATCATTATTAGATTTGATATTGCCGACTTGCCCTAGTGACTCCTGTGAAGTGTAGAACTTAATGATATCTTCAGCTTTAAAACCTTTGTAACTTCAACATGATATACAGAGTTTTCTTTTGTTTTAGATTACTAAGGATGTTACTGGTTGTGTGTTCATTTTCAGGCCAGCTTAGAGATGACCCACCAAGTCATCTGAAAGGGGACAACTTCTTCAAATTTACGTGCACTGACTGTGCCGAAGACGGCAAAGAGCAGTTTGAGCGCTTAAGGCTGACTTGGCAGCAGGTAAGTAAAAGAGGGTTTTGAATGGCCCTAGATTAACTTGAATGTTAAAATAGTTTATGTTTTTGGAAATGAGAATATACAGATACTTTTCAAACTCCAAGACTAGGCTAGTGAAAAATTCAAAAGTTAGGAGGCAGCTGTCATTTGTAAGGAGCACACGGAGCTCCCGGGATTTGTACATCTCTGTGATTTTGTTTTTATAAATAAAGTGATGCACTGATATTATTTTTGCAAGTACTGATACTTGCCCAAGTACTTACAGACATAAGTACTGATACATTATTGTTTATTGTCATGTGACAATTTTTCTAAAACAATACAGACTAAGGCTGGGTTCACATCTAGGTGATTCGCGGTAAAAAAAACGCGTTTCTGAGGGCTTATCTTGGCTGTATCCCAATGGAAACGCGCGACAAAAACGCCCCAAAGAAGCTCCTGTACTTCTTTGGGCGTAGGACGTTTTGTAGCGCGTTCTTATGGCCTGTAATATAGGGCTGCAACAACTAATCGACATAATCGATGATTGAAAAAGTTGTCAACTTTTTCAATCATCGATTAATCGGCCTCTGATTAGTTGGCCCTGTTCAGGGCTCCACACAAGCTGCGCGCTGCACCTCTTCCCCACCTCACGCTCGCCGCTGCCAGACCCACCCACATGCCGCACCTCCTCCCCGCCTCACGCTCACCGCCCAGGTTTTGTATTCCTCTATAGCCGGTGCCATTCTGCATTCATTGCTGTATAATTTTACAGGTTTCATTTCACTATATTGCATACCACACTTTTTCTTTTTTACTTCCACTGCTCCACGCTTGCTCCTGTGATGGACTACAATCTCAATAAAAGAATAGTAGTCCCATCACTGGAGCCATTTTTTAAAATGTATTTTATTTTTTTATCCGATTAACCGATTAATCGAACTTAATAATCGGCTAACTAATCGATTTTGAAAATAATCGTTAGCTGCAGCTCTACTGTAATACGTCCAGGTGTGAACCATACTCATAGGAAATAATGGGATTTCGGTGTTTGAGCGTTTTGCAGAGCGTTCGAACGCGCTACAAAACGCCCAGGTGTGAACCGGGCCTAATAATTTCAAGACAGTGGTGGAGCACAAGAGCCAGGTCCCAGCTGCAACCCTGGTAGTTCTCATGAAAATGCAAAGTATCAGCACTGGTATCTGAAAAGTATAGGTGCATCCCTAATTTATAGCCCTTCTTGCCAGTCCCACAATTGCTGCCCCTGCTCTTGTTCTTGGGTGCCTCCTATGCCTTCAGTGGTCCCATGGAGACACTCTTGCTTGCACACTTCAACTTGTGACATTGCACGCATGCTCCTAATTATTGTGGCACGTGGGATGAAGGACAGCCAGAAAGCGTGCACCTGGGTTGGGGTAGTTCAGGGGCAGCGCTATAAGGGACCCAGTTATGCTTACCATGAGTGGTCATGCGACTACAACAGTGGGTGCTGTCTGTGCTCTCCATCCTTCTTTCCCGGGTGTTGAAGAAGCAGCGTGGATCTTTAAGGAGCAGCTGATGAAAAAGGTACATTATTGGGGATATATTAGCCAAAAATAGTTGAGTGGTAGATTGCCTTGGTTTGGGTGAATTATTTTATATAAAAAAAGTGGGGTATAGATCTACTTTAATTGGTATCAAGCCGAAATCAAATTTCATATTTCTTCTGTGGAAATAAAGGTCCTTTTGAAAAGGATTTAGCATCTGGACCCTTGTCTCTGGACAAGTAAAGGTCCATATGCCATTCTCAATGGGTGGGAGAGAACTGAAAGCCCACTGTGCTTTTATAGTGTTTTTCATCTAACATCAAGAGCTTCCTGAGAAGCTATCAGCTTTTGTTCCTTTATTGTCCAATGGGATGGGTCTAGGTTGCTCAACTGCAGAGAGGCCTCCGAGTGCATGACTGGGCTGGATGCATGGTTCCTATGAGTACTCCAGCAGCAAGAATATTTTTCGTACCTATAGTACAGCAGACATGGAAACGGCATCTAATAATACAGTTTTTAGTTCAGCTTTAATTCTGCCTATACTCTTCCACAATGACCTGACCTGCTCCTGAATTTTAGATTTTCCCTCCACATAGTATTGCAATGTTTTTTTCATTGTGTGATTTGTATTCCACTATTTCCAAAGCATCTAGTAAATCTAACTTTCTGCACATTTAGTCCTAAAATAACTTATAATGCTAAAAATTATTTAACATTTAAAATGATCAGCACAATAAATGGTCTGAATGATCTGCTTTTTATATTGCAGGTGGTTATGCTGGCCATGTACAATCTGTCTCTGGAAGGATCTGGCCGCCAGGGTTATTTTAGATGGAAGGAAGACATCTGCTTATTCATAGAGAAACACTGGAACTTCTTGTTGGGAAGCAGGTGAAGATTTTGAATCTATTTCTACCACTAACTGCACTCGTTTTCTGTTTTGTGTGTATTTTGTTAGCACGCAGATAATATTATTGTGCTGCCCTATTGTAAATTCATCTAATGTGATATTGACCACACACGTTTTATAGCCTGGCTAGAAGCATGTGGCTTGTATAGTGAGTAGGGTAATAGTGTAAGGGACCATTCATCCGAAAATACATTAACAGAAATGGGAATTTGCTGTTGCCATCGTAGCTGACATTTTATTACATTGTTAGTCATGTTCGTTGGAGATGTGAATAAATTCCTGAGATGTCCCAATAAGCAGTAACAGTATAAATGAAAAAAATAAATGTATCTTTCAAAATGAAAAAACAGTCCTCCAGCTCTACTACCACTGTTCCAGGGCTTGAAGGAGCTTTTGGAGAGATGCTTCGCTGAATGAAGCTTGTGTACTGGGGTACAACATCAGAGCAGTGATTGGTTTCCTTTAAGACTGCTCTGTTGGAGGTTGTAATCAGATAAAGGGAACTGAAAAGCGTGCTTTTTCCACTGTGCTGCCTGTCTTTGTAGCTTATCCATAGTGCTTTTGGAATCATTTGTCAAATCAATTGTAAAACAATGGTTGTAAATAGGGATGCACCGATACCATATATATATTTTTTTGGTATCAAGTACCAATATTTATTAGGGCTGCGGAAATTAACAATTAATTTCGCGATTAATCGTTAACATTTTTGTTCGATTTAAAATGCTTTTGATCGCTAATGAAAATACTCACCTCTCCGCCGGCTTCCGGGAGTCCCATCGGAGATCCGGTGATGTCACTGACTTCGACGTCACCGGACTCCTCCCCACTTTCCCAAGTGGCTACGTGGCGGTTAACGAAGGGAAGGGGGGAGGAGTCCGGTGACGTCGATGTCCGTGGCGGCTAACGAAGGGAAGGAGGAGGAGTCCGTTGATGTCCGTGACGTCGATGGACTCCTCCCCCCTTCCCTTCATTAGCCGACGGAGCCACTTGGGCCGGTGAGTTTGCCCAATAAACTTGTTCTGCCCTATCAATTTTTAAATAGGTTATACTTGCATGTAAAGGGAACATCAGTGTGCAGCCTGCCAATTGACATCGAACCTTTCTTCTACAATCTTCCCAGCTGGTCAGTGTGCCCACAAGTGTGGACCAAACTCCAAGGCATTGGCCTATACACATACAGCACAGCAATGAAGTAATAAACTGAACTAGGTCACACTAATCCAGCACGTTATTAATCTCACGTGCCCCACTCAATCGGTTGCCATATTGAGTGGGGAACGTGAGATTAATAATGTGCTGGATTAGTGTGATCCTAGTTCATTTTATTACTTCATTGCTTTGCTGTATGTGTATGGGCCAATGTAGTTGGATCTGTATGTGCGTTATAATTAATAGAAATTAATCGATTAATTGATTTTTAAAAAAATTTTGATTAATCGAACACGAACATTTTAATCAGTACCAGCCCTAATATTTATCTTTCGGGACTCGCCAATACCGAGTACCAATATCGGTACTTCCGCTAGCATGGAGCCGGCTTCCCGGCAAATCAGGAAGCTGATATCTGTGGGATCTAGATTTTTTTGAGCCTTGTGCCTGTGCCCCACATTTGGGCACTTCCCGTTATACAGTTAGGGAAGAATTATCCGGGGTTTGGTCAAAAACTTAGAAACAGTCTGCCTGATCTCCTCTATACATGAAACATCTGACAAGTTGTCATTTAGTCTCCAGGTTGTAGATCTGGGAGGTAGTTTCCCTTTTAACATACTCTATCGCTGCTAACAAATGCACCCATTATCCCTAATGTACTGTATTAGTATAAGTTTGTGTATATTGTTGATTTTTGTGTTGCTTGCTTTACTATTATAACAGCAGGAGGTTTTGAAGATGTGTCAGTATGTACACTGGGGACATTTCCATATGCTTATGTTTATAGGAAGAAGACCTCCACCTGGTGGAGCACTGTTGCTGGCTGTCTGTCTGTGGGAAGCCCCATGTTCTTCCGATCTGGAGCTCAGGAGTTTGGAGAGCCAGGCTGGTGGAAGCTAGTTCATAACAAACCTCCAGCCCTGAAACCTGAGGGTAAGATGTTTTCTATAACTTCCTAGAAGTTGAGCAGTTATGATGGGCACTAAAATTGTGCCTGTCATATAGGCACTTTATGATGAAGACTGATATCCAGCCTGGCAACTGACACAGCAATCGCTGGTATTCCAGTGTCATAGAAAAGAACGGTGGTAGACTGGTCTTCATTTTAACCAACCCCGCACTTCGAGTTAGTTGTGTTACTCCATACCTTATGTGATTGTTGTAAGCGGAATTAAAATCAATAATAAACTGAACTAGGTCACACTAATCCAGCACGTTATTAATCTCACGTGCCCCACTCAATCGGTTGCCATATTGAGTGGGGAACGTGAGATTAATAATGTGCTGGATTAGTGTGATCCTAGTTCATTTTATTACTTCATTGCTTTGCTGTATGTGTATGGGCCAATGTAGTTGGATCTGTATGTGCGTTATAATTAATAGAAATTAATCGATTAATTGATTTTTAAAAAAATTTTGATTAATCGAACACGAACATTTTAATCAGTACCAGCCCTAATATTTATCTTTCGGGACTCGCCAATACCGAGTACCAATATCGGTACTTCCGCTAGCATGGAGCCGGCTTCCCGGCAAATCAGGAAGCTGATATCTGTGGGATCTAGATTTTTTTGAGCCTTGTGCCTGTGCCCCACATTTGATAAAAAAATTTTGATTAATCGAACACGAACATTTTAATCAGTACCAGCCCTAATATTTATCTTTCGGGACTCGCCAATACCGAGTACCAATATCGGTACTTCCGCTAGCATGGAGCCGGCTTCCCGGCAAATCAGGAAGCTGATATCTGTGGGATCTAGATTTTTTTGAGCCTTGTGCCTGTGCCCCACATTTGGGCACTTCCCGTTATACAGTTAGGGAAGAATTATCCGGGGTTTGGTCAAAAACTTAGAAACAGTCTGCCTGATCTCCTCTATACATGAAACATCTGACAAGTTGTCATTTAGTCTCCAGGTTGTAGATCTGGGAGGTAGTTTCCCTTTTAACATACTCTATCGCTGCTAACAAATGCACCCATTATCCCTAATGTACTGTATTAGTATAAGTTTGTGTATATTGTTGATTTTTGTGTTGCTTGCTTTACTATTATAACAGCAGGAGGTTTTGAAGATGTGTCAGTATGTACACTGGGGACATTTCCATATGCTTATGTTTATAGGAAGAAGACCTCCACCTGGTGGAGCACTGTTGCTGGCTGTCTGTCTGTGGGAAGCCCCATGTTCTTCCGATCTGGAGCTCAGGAGTTTGGAGAGCCAGGCTGGTGGAAGCTAGTTCATAACAAACCTCCAGCCCTGAAACCTGAGGGTAAGATGTTTTCTATAACTTCCTAGAAGTTGAGCAGTTATGATGGGCACTAAAATTGTGCCTGTCATATAGGCACTTTATGATGAAGACTGATATCCAGCCTGGCAACTGACACAGCAATCGCTGGTATTCCAGTGTCATAGAAAAGAACGGTGGTAGACTGGTCTTCATTTTAACCAACCCCGCACTTCGAGTTAGTTGTGTTACTCCATACCTTATGTGATTGTTGTAAGCGGAATTAAAATCAGTAACATCAGATTTAATCACTGTTTAATGTATTGCTAGATTAAGATAGAAAAAGATTATTGACGACATAAGCCTGTACCATTTGACTTTTTAAACTGTCATCAGAGGCATTTAAGCCAACAATTGGTGGTGAAATCATTGTTTTTAGTTTAGCTACCCAAGGTATTATAGTGACAATCTTCCAATTAAAGCTGGACTCCAGGCAAAAGGCTAAATACGCAGCTGCTAAACATATATTAGAGATGTTTTAACTGACAAAGGGCAAGTATTTATCTCTATCCAGTGAGTTACACAGCACTACCCTGTCTGCCAGGGCAGGAGATCTGAATTTAATCTGCTACACTTAAGAACTTGTCCCTCTCCCAGCCGGTGGCTAGACAGTGAAGGGAGAAGCAGCAGGCTGATGACACTCGCTCTCAGCATTCTCCTTTTTTGCATGTAAGCACTACAGCACAACTCCCTGACTTTGTGCTGCTCCTCTCTCTCCCAGTCTGAGCTTTGTTGTAGAGGGAATGCAAGAGGCTAATACCAAGTCAAATTCAGGTACTTACACTGCTTGCATTTAAGAAATACTTTTAAGGATTTAATAATGAATACGGAGCTGCATTATCATGTGTTTATTATATTTGCCTGGAATTTAGCATTAACTTTAACTACAACCCCAATTCCAAAAAAGTTGGGCACTGTGTAAAGTCTACATAAAAACAGAATTCAATGATTTGCAAATTGCATAAACCCAAATTTTATTCACAATAGAGAATAAAAAACATATCCAATATTTAAACTGAGAAAATGTACCATTTTAAGAACAAAATGTATAAGGTAACTTGAAATTGATGGCAGCAACACGTCTCAAAAAAGTTGGGACAGGGCGAGAAAAACTTGGCAAAGTAAGTGGTACTAACAAGGAAGAGCTGGAAGTACATTTTTCATCTAATTAGGTTAATTGGCAACAGGTCAGTAACATGATTGGGTATAAAAAGAGCATCTTAGAGAGTCATAGCGTCCCAGAAGTAAACACGGGCAGAGGTTCACCAGAGTGTCTCAGAAGTAAAGATGGGCAGAGTTTCATCAATCTATGAAAAGCTGTGCCAAAAAATTGTCAAACAATTTCAGAATAATGTTCCTCAACGTAAAATTGCAAAGACTTTAAATATATCATCATCTACAGTACATAATATCATCAAAAGATTCCAAGAATCTGGAGAAATCTCTGTGCACAAGGGACAAAGCAAAAATGCAATATTGGATGCCCGTGATCTTCGGACCCTCAGACGGCACTGCATAAAATAAAAACAGGCATGACTGGACATCATTGCATGGGCTCAGGAATACATAGAAAAATCACTGTCTGTGAACACAGTTCACCTTGCCATTCAAAAATGCAAGGTAAAGCTCTATCATGCAAAGAAGAAGCCGTATCTGAACATAATCCAGAAACACCACCATCTTCTCTGGGCCGAAGCTCATTTAAAATCGCCAAAGTGGAAAACTCTTTTGTTGTCAGACAAATCGAAGTTTGACATTCTTTTTGGCAACTGTGGAAGTCGCGTCCTCTGGACTAAAGAGGAGGGGGACCTTTTTGGTTTGTTATCAGTGCTCACTTCTAAGCCTGCATCTCTGATGATATGGGGGTACATTAGTGTGTATGGACTGGGCAGCTTACACATCTGGAAAGGCACCATCAATGCTGTATATCCAGATATTCATATATCCAGGTTTTAGAGCAGCATATGCTCCCATCCAGATGATTCCTTTTTCAGGGAAGGTCTTGCCTATTTCAGCAGGACAATGCTAAACTGCATACTGCATCTATAAAAGCAGCATGACTTTGTAGTACGTTGTAAAAGAGTCCGGGTGCTTAACTGGTCTGCCTGCAGTCCAGACTTTTCCCCAGTTGAAAATATTTGGCGCATCTAGAAATGAAAAATACAACAAAGAAGACCCAGGACTGTTGAGCAGTTAGAATCCTATATCAGGCAAGAATGGGACAACCTTCCTCTCCCAAACCTCCAGCAACTGGTGTCCTTAGTTCCTAGACATTTACTGAAAGTTATTAAAAGAAGAGGGGATGCTTCCTCGTGGTAAACACAGCCCTGTCCCAACTTTTTTGAGACGTGTGGCTGCCCTAAATTACCTTATTTTTTCCTAAAATGGTACATTTTCTCAATTTAAACATTTGATATCTTTTCTATTTTCTATTGTGAATAAAATATGCGTTTATGAGATTTGCAAATCATTGCATTCTGTTTTTATTAAGATTTTACGCGGCATCCCAACTTTTTTTTGGAATTGGGGTTGTAAATGCACAACATTATACTTACTTGCACACAGTTAAGAAATGTGTCATAGATATGTTGTGTTTTGTAACTCCCAGTTCCTGGCAAGTCTAACCTGGACCCAGTGATTACAGTGGAGGGCCTACGGAAGAGATCTAGAGGAAACCCAGTGGAGGCCGCTATAGAGCTGAAGGAGAAACGATCACGCACACAAGAAGCAAAGGACATCAGGAAAGCCCAGAAAGAAGCCAGCAGCTTTGGTGATCGGAGCACATCATCCACTCCTGTGAAGTTTTCCAGCCGAAACCGCAGGCCAGATATTGTGCTCGAGAAAGGGGAAGTCATAGACTTTTCATCCATGAGCTCTTCAGATCGGACACCCATGACTAGTCCCTCTCCTTCTCCATCTCTGGATTTCTCAGCTCCTGGGACACCAGCATCTCACTCAGCTACTCCAAGCCTGCTTTCAGAAGCTGATCTAATCCCCGATGTCATGCCACCCCAAGCTTTGTTTCATGGTCAGTGCTTCTAATTTAGGTTTACTATTGATTGCATTTATAAACATATTGGTAATCTGTGTAACCAATCAAAACAGGTGATTTCTCTCAATGATTACTGCTGTGTTTATTACTCACTTGTGACACAGAATCAGTTCTACAAGATCATAGAAACTCTGAAATTGTGGCCTATTTGGGGTTCTTGAGTGCTGGAGTTAAAAAAAAATAATGTTCTGCCTAAAGCAGATGCAGTTAATGGCTTCCTTCCCTATGTCCTGGAAATGAGAGCCCCCTTCATGCCATTGCAGCATTTCTTTGACAGCCTGTGTCATTTCCAGATTTCAGACCTTCCAAAGAAGAGCTTTTCGTAAAGTAAATCTAAGCCCTACTTGGATGACATTTAGTTTGCTAAAGCACTGTATATACTGCTCTAGATTGCTTCCTTGAAACATAACAGCACCCTGCCTCAGTACTGCTCTTAGGAGCCCTTAGCCCTGCTGCAAGTGGTGGAAGAGTTACGCAAATATCAAAATGCCTTGATGGGTGGATGTCAATCTGGAGGTGTGGGCGTTCTTAGGCAGATTGTATTTGCATGCAAATGTGATGCTGAGCCTCTATGATTGAGTAAAAATGTAATTCAATGGTAGAAAGTAATGGGCCAAGAACAGTAAGACTACGAAGAACAAAGATAGATGATGCTGGATGTCCTCCAGCAAGAAAATGAGGCTGACTTGCTGCAGGTTTTATTGCATGCTATGAGAAGCAGAGTAAGCAAGGAGCCTGTACAACTGTGCAAGACTGAAGGGAAAGCTGCAGTTCAGATGTAAGTATAGGTTTTTTTAAAGACGCACTCACGTTGCCTATTCAAAGCAAAGTGTCAGTGCCTCCTTATAGTCTAGTCCCCCAAGCGAGGTATACTTACCCATCCATACACCCTTGCTGTCTCCTTACTTTGTTGTTCTAATGGAGCAGGTCTTTTGGGTATAGGAGCCTGTGATCTCCCCCATGTGACACAGGACGGAGTGGCCAATCAATATCGTATTCTTCTTCCACCTGGTTAAGCTATGACACCGGCTCAGGGTGCACTCTGTTAGAGCCTGGGAACCAGTGAGGTAGCACAGATTGGTGAATATACTTTTCAGGAGTGGTCGGCTACTAGAAAACATTGTCACTTTGCCACAAATGGCCCGGTGACAGCGTCTGTTTAAGCTATGCAAACAAATTCAGAGTATTGTAGTTTTTCGCCCCCTTTTTTTTTTTTCCATCCACTTTTTATTTGTGTTTTTTTCTGGCTCTTTTACAGATGATGAAGAGATGGATGCTGATGGTGTCATTGATCCTGGAATGGAATACATTCCTTCTCCAAATGCTCTTCATTCTACTCCTATTAGTCGAAAGAACTACAAGTCATCTGTCCATGTGAAACAAGAAATCGAGAGCGAGGAGGAAAGAATGGAGAGGTTAGAGGCTGAATTGCATGAGGGTCCATCCATCGAGAGAATGCGGGACAAGAGGAGACCACAACCAATTGGGAGAGACAGAAGAGGCACTCAGTTCCACGCTATAAGCATGTATGAGGAAAAGTTGCTGTTAAAACACCTTGAGGCTTGTCCTAATGCGGTAGCTGTGACTCCAGAGGCCAGGAGACTGAGACAGAAACTGCTGGTGCGCAAGACCAAGCGGGAAAGGGGGCTGCCTATTTTTGAACTGGACCAGGCAGTGAATGCAGCTTTGTCGCTGGTCGGAGGAGTATATGGAGCTAGAGAAGGCTGTGTTTCTAGGCCATTACCCACTGGTCCAGAGTACACCCGAACAAGCAAAGACACAAGAATATTGGATCGATACCAAGTAAGTTCCATCCTGGTCATGTGGATTTTGACAAACCAATCAGTTTGTCTGCTCACAAGAGCTGAATGAGAGAAATCACTTGATTATCCCTTCCATGCTTAGGATAGTGGATGGAGAAATTGCCTCTGCTGGCTATAGTATTCTGACAGATGGCTGTCAGGATATCCAAACAATAACTGCAGCTAATTGGATGCGGTCAATGTTCAGCTGTTTTCCGCCCAGCTCCTATTAATAAATCCACTTTTGTTGATCCTGGTGGTGCTGGCAGGGCCAACACCTATGGATCTAAGTTCATTCAATTCAGTAGAAAACAGCCGGAATTCAATCCATGTATGGCCACCTTAGGGTGGTTAGTTTATTTTAAGCCTTGGTGTAAAGAGACCATTCTTTTCAGCAATAATCTTCCCATAAGATTATATGTGCATTTAATGTATTTTATGCATGTTATTAACCTGTAAAAGTCTTCCATGCATAGACATCCAAAAGACTGCTAGTGGATGTTTAAGTATTCTACCCAAATGTTTAGGTTCATGGTAAAGCAGGGGCTATAAACATACCTTGCCTCTGTGCCCCGGATCTGGAATTTACCATTTTAAATGATTTGTGTCTTCTCTAATCCTGCTTTCTGCCAGCCGGTTAGGTAGTTTTTTGTGAAAAAGACACATCCTTTAACTTCAACAAAGAATACAAAAACCTCAGAGATTAAATCCTGCAGTTGATCCAGATGATGGCAGAAAATCCTTATGAACTGTGATCCATTTTGCCCTAAGTCCAAAAGGCAATCAGTTTATTCTCTGGATCAACATTCTACAACAGGCACCGTGAATCAACGCCGTCTGCACGCAATCGACGCCGCCCGCCGTCTGTACGCGCCGTCACGCCGTCCACTCTCCAGGCCGATGGTCCGCGTCATCCCATCCGTGATCCGCGTGAGTTGTATCACCCGGGGTGCCGCTCTCTGCGAATCTGCCGCTCCAGGCAAACGCCTTGTTTGCCTCGCGGCAGATACGCCCCTGACAACAGGGGTGGGCAAGTTCTGGCCCTCCAGCTGTGGTGAAGCTCCATGATGCATCTGTCTCTGGAAGGCATTCTTGTGGATGTGAGAGTCTTGCAATGCCTCATAGGATTTGTAGTTCCACAACAGCTGGCGGGCCAGAGTTTGCCCACTCCTGTTCTACGATGTCCTTCGATATTCAGAGTCATTTCTACTTTTTGCTTTTGAAAACACATCCATTTCTTTTTTGAAACCATTGATTGACTCTGCTAGAATGAGTTCCTGCACATTTTCAAACCTCTCAGTAGAGTCCTTCTGTATTTGGAAGTTAAAACAGTTTTCCGCCAGTTGCAAAGAATTCCTTTCTCTGCTTGAGTTTTAGGGGCCAAGTTACGCCTTATGCACATGTGTTTAACACTTGCTCTATTGTGTTGGGCCTTTCATTTCCTGTGGCCCTAACAGTAATATAACAGTAATAGCAAAAAGTTACCTGGCTTTTGGAGTAAGACAGAAAAAAGTTTTCCTGGCACACTCACAAGCTAGCATGTAAAAAAACCTGTCTAACCACTAAGGTTAAAAACAGAGGTTTGGATACACGTCTTCTGCAGAAAATGTGAAAGCCGCAACTCATATAGTGCGGTCCTAACGCTAAACTATGAGAGTCTCCATCTTGGAGCACATGGGGCAGAAGATAAAATTGGGTGCAGGTTTGTCAGGAGGAAGCCCAACCTCCTTTAAAGGCACAGGAACGCACAAGGGATCCTGCACATCCCAATGGCAGCTGAGACCCCCCCATGCGTCGCTGCACCAAATCAGTCAAGCAAAACAAATGACAAACGCACTCATCAATTCGTCACCAGCTTTACAGCAAGGTGCACATGGAATGGGCTTTAAACAGTAAAACAGCCAAAAGTTTTCCTGGCACACTCACAAGCTAGCATGTAAAACCTTAACCTTAGTGGTGAGACAAGTTTTTTTTTTTACATGCTAGCTTGTGAGTGTGCCAGGAAAATTTTTGGCTGTTTTACTGTTTAAAGCCCATTCCATGTGCACCTTGCTGTAAAGCTGGTGACGAATTGATGAGTGCGTTTGTCATTTGTTTTGCTTGGCTTTTGGTGTATCCACGCCCCTCATGCATTCTTTATAACATGCACTCTGGGGCAGGTGCATTTGTTTTAGTTGTGTATGCGCTTGGGGACGCCACAGGAAAATGCCCATGCGTAGGTGTGTAGCCAGCCTAGGTGCACAGCTTTCCACTGAATTTTCTGTACGGGCCATTACTATATCCGTATGTAAACACATTCTTTATAGGATCTTATGTGATGATCTTGTGACACACGGCACAGGCAGGGGGGCTACTGGGGGAGGGTGCTCATTATTTTGCCCAGGGGAATCATGGGAACAAGGTTATAGAAATTAGTAATTGTTGATGTCTGTCCTTATATTTTTCTTCTCAGTCCCAGCTGTTTAGATTCGACAAGGGCAGAAAGTGGGGTTTTGAGAGCACCAAAG